GACAATATATTCATTAGAGAGTTAGCATAATTTAAAAGGAAAAGCATGTTATATATTTTATTAATTGCAATGTTTTTGTTAAGTGGGCTTAATTGGACATTTCTCTTTCTCCTTTTGGGTTTCTATCTGAGAGGGCGTCTTTTATGGTTCAGCGGTGTTTGAGACGACAGGGAAAATGCTAATGCCGTTTAACATAAATATAAATAATATAGAAGCAATATATACGTATTCACAGAAACAGACCCCAGCATCAGACCACGGAGGTCGTGCTCTCGGGGTTCACGCGGATCAGCCTGGACGCGTTCCTCAGGTCCTGGAGCTGCTTGGCGGGCTTCCCCACACCCTCCTCGAACCTTTTCTCCACCACGGGGAGGACGGTTTCGTAGAGGAAGGACGCATTCTGCCGGATAAAGGCCTTCTTCTCCGGGTCCTGCTCACAGCGAAGACTGTAGTCCACGTGCTGGACAGCCACCAGGATGATTTCCACCAGGCTCTCCAGAAGCACCATGTGCAGCTCGGGGAAATACAGCTTCAGGGCCTCCTCCAGGAAGCCCATGGTCTGCTTGGTGAAGGCGACCACCGTGTAGCTCAGGTTCACCCAGCAGTCGTCGCCCGTGTACTGCTCGAAGTCACTCACCCCGCAGCCCTTCATCTCCTCCTTGAGCTTGCCCAGGGCCTCCGGCGTCATCAGGTTCATCCTCCTCCACATCTCCTCCGAGTTGCGGTGCTTGGTGGCCTCGATGATGATGTCCTTGTAGCTGTGCAAGGCGCCCTGGATGTCTTTCACCAGCAGGGCGTGGACCACGAAGGTGAGGTCCAGCCCGATGTCCCCCAGCTGCCGGCAGTGCTCCTTGGCCACCTGCACGCACTCGGCGGCCGTCGACAGGCTCTCCTTGCTGTCGAACACCTGCTTGCTGAAGGCGTCCACGAACATGCCCATGGCCGACCGCGCCCAGACCACGAAGGCCGAGTAGCAGCCGCTGTCCGTGCCGGCGAAGTCCGTCTCGAACTCGCGCGCCGTCTCCAGCAGGCTGGTGAAGAAGACGTGGCACAGCTTGTGGATGTAGAGCAGCGTGGCCCCTTCGATGCGCAGCTGGCGGATGGCCGTGTGCACCGCGGCCGCCCGGTTCCGCAGGAACAGCTCGCAGGCCTTGGTGCCCTGGCCCAGCCGGATGAGCTGGGACACCGCCCGGCGAGTGGCCTTGGGGCCGCCGCGCAGGGACCGGCCCGGGGACAGTTCGAAGACCAGCACCTCGGTCAGCTGGCGGACGCGCTCCTCCACCTTGGCCCTGAGCTCCTTCACGGGGGGTGGGCTGGGCTTACCCTCCAGGTAACGGTTCAACTTATCCAGCAGGTCCACGGCCCCTTCGAAGTCCCTCTGGGCGATGCAGACGTCCAGGTCCTCGGGCAGCTCCTGGATCCACTCCATGGAGAGGTCCACCCGCTCTTCCTCCACCTCGGGGGCGGCCGGCTCGTCGTCCTCCTCCTCCTCCTCCTCTTCGAACGGGTTGGCGGCCTTGGCGGCCGCTGGGGGCAGCCCGCGCGGGGCGGCGGCCTCCTCCTGCTCGCGCCGCCGCTTCTCGCCCAGGGCCCTCTTGGTGGCCTCCAGCACCTCCAGCCACTCGCGTTTGATTTTGGCGTTTTCCGCCTGGAAGATGCGGCTCTCGGGGAACATGAGCAGCTTGAACATGTCCTTCATGGGCGGGTTGTCCTTGACGTTGACCACGGCCAGGTCCGTCCAGGGGGTAAGAGGGCGTTGTAGCGGTACATGCCCCGCCGCTGGGGCAGCCAGGTGGTCCACCAGCAGGCAGTCGTTTCATCAGGAAGCCGTTGCACCCCGCTGGCAGCTTGGGCCCATGGGGTCCGGCCTCGTAATCCCACCAGGTCAGCCGTTGTACACCCAAGTAATTGGACGGGCGGCTCCCAGCAGTTGGCCGGCAGGCTTCC